AGAGCATGAGCTTGTATAAAACTAAGGAGGGAATAGCAGTGTTTCAAACAAGAGCCTGAGCAAATCAGTTAATATAACCCTTGGGAACAACACTGTTTCCAGGATGTGAATGTCTGTTCCTTACCCCATCCCTTCACGGTGAGTTTAATGAAATGATTTCTCATGATTTATTTAGTCATTTTTATTACAAGAAGCCAGGCTGGCCATGAGCTTGTATAAAACTAAGGAGGGAATAGCAGTGTTTCAAACAAGAGCCTGAGCAAATCAGTTAATATAACCCTTGGGAACAACACTGTTTCCAGGATGTGAATGTCTGTTCCTTACCCCATCCCTTCACGGTGAGTTTAATGAAATGATTTCTCATGATTTATTTAGTCATTTTTATTACAAGAAGCCAGGCTGGCGAGAATAACCACCTATGGCACAGCAGAGTAGCCTCCGGCTTCCCTCTGCAGGGATTAAGAGGAGCGGGAAGGACCCTGCCCAGGTTTCCCAGCTCTGGCCGGGGATGCCCTTCAAGCCGGGCATGTCACGACAAACTCTCTCAGGCTGCGAGGGGCCCTAACACCCCCCTGGGTACTGCTACCAGTCAGGCAAGACCCCTGAGAGGAGCTGATGGAGAAGGAGAGAGCAGACAGCAGAAAGGCCCGATTTTACGAAGACTAACTCCTGCCTGCTGGGTTCCTGTCAGGAGAGGGCTGGCAGCCACCACGGGCTCTCCGCAGGCAGCCACGCACACCGAGGGACTGCCCCATCCTTCCAGCACCTTGTTACTGCGACTGGAAGTGATTTATCACCACTGCGCTCCGAGGGGGAATCTGAAACGCTCAGTCCCAGAGCAGCTTTCCTGGGTACCTCCAAAGCACGAAGCTGCTTGTTTACCGAGCTCGTTGCAACAGGTCAAAAAAGGTTTTCTCCTGTCAGAGTGGGTTTGTGGAGAAGAGCTGAGACTTTTGTCTCAGGGCAGATGAGGCTGCAGTCAGAGCTCTCTGCAGAGCTCTGTGAGGACTGCTCCAACAGGACCTGTGCGTTCAGTGTAAACTCCCTGCCACATTTAAACACATCAAAAACACAGCTGTCATAGTGCAGTTTACAGAATTTACTTCCTTTGCTTCAGCTGAATACATGCTCTTATTAATGCAGCTGGGCTTGGATCTGTCACTTTTGCTCAGAGTATGATGGGTTTGGGAAATGATTAAAAGGGCATTGGTGCTATGAGAGATCTTACTGTGGGGAAAATGCCATCCTGATCCCCCGCTCACTCACCTAAAGGCAGCATCAAAGCTGAGCTGTCACTTGACAGGTAAGAATTGGCAGGCAACATCCTTGCCAAGGTTAAAATTCGCTGCTGCCAGACCAGGAGAGATTTCCTAATGCCAAAATGCTCTGTCGGTGTGGGGTAAGATACAATAGCTTTTGTTCTCTGCCAGTGTCTAGGAGCAGTGGCAATCTCAGAGAAAAGGGCAGCTGTGGAGCTGTCATCAGGGAAATGAGACAGTCGAAAACCCTTTTTCTGGGTCTTCCATTTTTTTTCTGAATGAGGTTTGGATTTACCAGTAAAACCCTAATTTCTTGGGTTTATGTCACGTAATCTCACCAGTTTGATATCTGTGGCCCCACAAAGTTATACTTAACCTTAGTTGAAGCCAGAAAATATCCCTTGGACAGAAAGGGTAACAAGCTGAAAAAGGACCAACGCTGTGAGGCCCGGAGACAAAAAGCAAATGAGAGTCTGAGCTGAGCAAACAGGTTACGGAGGAACACGCACCATAAACCGAGAGGCAAATTACCTGGCAATTCCAACCGCCTGCCACGCTGGGAGAGACAGTGGGGAGCTCCTGACGTGGGATTGCCCCCTTTGTTTTCCCTCCCGGAAGCAGTTGTTTGGAAAGGTTCATACTATCCCCTTTTTTCCCGTTTCATGGTCAATTCTCCCATTTTTCCTTATCCAAATAATTTTGAATACCTGCGTCTCCACAAGTTTAAAAAGAAAAGTGTGTTGAGCCTGAGCTTGTATCTGGCACACACGTTATGCCCTCAATGCTCTGCACAGGAGGGTTACACAGGACAGATACCAGCTTCAACATCACCACCCGAGGGGCCTGCTGCATTAAACCAACTCTAAATTATCTCGAGACACCTTCCTGATGAAGTGAAGCACGGTGTGTTTGCCAACCCAGGCCCAGCGAGAGCTACCGTGACACCCATGCCGTGCTGTCTCTTGCCGAACACCTCATCCCGCAGAGGGGGTGTCTGCACCCCGTTTCGGCCCCCGAAGCCAAGCCCTCGCCAGGCCACGCGCAGCCCATCCCCGGGGGCAGCGTGGCCGCTCTCACCTGCCGGAAGCCGCTGCGCGTGTGCTGCAGGATTTTCAGGGCGTAGTTGGATCGCTGACCTTTGCTGTTGAATTCGATGTGGCCGGTGAGACCTTCCAATTCTACCTGTCCAAGAGAGAGTGAGTTACAGCGCCCATCAAGGCGGCTCACCCCCCTGCCCGCTACAGCTGGAGGGGGCACCCACTGCCCCATGCGCTGGCCGTCCATCCTCGCGGCAGGAACCGCGATGCAGCCCTCATGTCTCAATCGTAACTGCTTTCGGAGTCTGGCAAGGGTAGCACTGAGACGGGGAGGGGAGCAGGAGAATCAGCAGCATGAGGTGCAGGGCTCCCCAAATCTCCTTGCACCAGCTCCGCAGCCCCCTGCCACCTCCTTCCATCACCACGCTGCTCTAGGGCAAAGAGCTCTTCGCCACATCAAATCACTAGCTGGGGATTCCTCCACAAACCACTACACGCTCGTTCACGGCACCGGGCCTGCGTTTACCACGAGCACATTGCAGCAGAGCCAGGATGAGTGTTGAGGCTCACCGTGCAGATTAACCACTGCTCACTTGCTGCTGGAGTACCTCTTCAGTGACAAGGGCAAGCTACTGGGCCTCCAAGTAGCAGAGGCAGGAGAAGCTGAGGAGTTTTGTTGTCTCTGACTAAGGGTGAGATTTAAAGCAGGGTTCACATGCATTGACCAAAGTGACAGAAGGTTCAGGTTTAGCTGATCCTTCCTTTGGAGGGGAAAAAAAAAGAACCTCATGAAATCTCCTTGTCTTGGGACACTTCAGCTGCATCCCAAACAGCAAACACGCTCCCTCTGCACGGTCAGGCTCAGCTCTCAGGAATCACACTGACAAAACTCCATCTATTTCACCCAAGGTTGGAATTTCAGGGTCCGTTCTCAGGCCAGAGTTGACTGACCGTTCCTAGGCTTGACTGGTTACAGCAACCACACTTTTGGGTTCAAAAGAGCCCTAATTCCTTCATAGGAAATCTCACCTCTTGCCACTGAGCAACTGTACCGCATGACCTTATATCAATTCAAGTTCACTCAAAACAGAGCTCAAATCACTTAGAAACATTCATACTTTAAAAAAAACTCATTGAATTCCAGTTTTTCTGCAGCATAGCTTGAAAAATGGAGAGTTTCATGTCATTCCAAGGCCAGTGACAAACCAGCCCTTAGATCTCCTCTCTTCTCATCCCCAGTGATACCTTCAAACAGCCTGACGCTCAGCGCTTGAAAACTGTGCCAGCACCAGCATGTACATACACGTCTTTTGCTTCCGGCAGTGACGAGCACTAGCTCCGAACACACCAGCAAACTTCAGTCCCCTCTCACCATTCTCAGGTAGTTCATCAGGCTGGTGCCGTGCTGCCAGATCTGGGCAGACCCGCAGGACAGGGGCTTCACCCCAATCTCCTGGCTCCGGTTGAGCTCCTGCACGGCAGTCACCACTGCATACACAGCATCGAACAGCAGGGCAGAGGAGAGCTGTGGGGCAAAGGAAGGAAAAAAAATGAGATGGGAAGACAAAAACTGAGCCTCCTGCTGCACCTTCAGAACCTTGCATGAAGTTTGTGACGTTCTAACAAATAGGCAGCTGGGCAAAATAAAGGTCTTGTGCCTGCACCCACTGAAGGACAGGTTACGGTGTTGCTTCAGCCTTCATTAGGCACCAGAGTCCTCCTTCGACACTGCTGTGAAAGGCAGATCCACGAGAAATGAGGTTTTTCTAGGTCTGCTTCTGAAACAAGTGTGTCTTGGCTTTCAGACCCCATATAGAACCCTTAGTCCCCCCCAGTTTCCCACTGGCTGTTACCTGCTCTGTGATAGTACTGCTGAAGCAATGTCCAGAATCACAGAGTTCGTCCCCTCTCCTTCTCATCTTTGCTTTGTTTGCCTTTAATCAGATTTCTTCGTCCATTGAGCCTCACAAACCATGTTTTTCACCCATGCACAACTGTTTCAATGTTTTTTATCTAGTTAATAATCAGCCATTTGCTCTCTCATGTTCACTGTTGTGACTAAGATTTCACTTTTAATTATTGTCACCTCCTGACTCTGCTGGAATTACGTTGTTGCAGCTCATTACTATCAAAGCTACATTTTCCTCATGGATACTTCTGAGAGCACCCTCTTATCATCCCAACCCCCAGCAATGGGTTCAGTCTCCAGCCTGGGGCTCCTTTCCCCTACCTTACCCTGTTTGGGACTGACGGCACTTCAGCAGTATCCACATCCTCCATTCCTCCCGAAGCCTGATTAGGTTTATTCACTTCTGCCAGTGGCCCTGCAGGGACAATCTCGCCCAGTTCAATCATCCCAATGAACCTTTGGCTTCAACTGCGTCACTAATTGGAACAGAGTGAGCCAGACTTAACCCTGCTTGATCTTATTCAGATCAGTGGTGAGACCTCATTGACCACAATGGCCTGGGATTAGGCAGGTTAACAAGCAGCACAAAACCTTAAAATGAACAAGCTGGCACAAGTTAAAAGGCATGATTCCAGCCTAATGCTAGGAAAACCCCAGACCCCAGCTCCAATGGCACCTCTCACTTTTCCAAGCCTGGTAGAGACTGACATTTGCTCTGTCACACTTCTGCATGTGCCTGAATCACAAACGGCATCCAGGGACTTGACAGTGAGCTTTGGGCAACTTAACTGGCATCGGTCAGTCTTGCATCTGACCCTCCTCCCATGCAATGGAGAATATACTTAATTTTATCTGTGGAACGAATGCCATTCAAGTTACAGGATACCATACACGATTAGCAATTGCTTTCCTGAATCAAGAACCATATTAACACCCGCTGGCCAAACGAAAATGTTACGAGAGCAAACACAACCTCTGTGACCCCGAAGTTTCACCACCTCATACCGAAGCAGAATGTTGGCCCAACATTTTTAATTGTCTCCTGTTGGGTTTTCATTTCCATTTTCCCTGAGCAGTTAATGATCTCTTATTAGCTGGTGAGCAAGAGACTTGTAGATCTTAGTGAAGCATTTGATGTTATTGATTGGAATATTTTATTCCTTAGCCTAAAACAATTTGTTAGGATTCCTGGCAGCTCCCTTATGATTTCAAGCAATTTAGAGATTGGGGAGGGGGTTGTGATGCACAGGATCAAGTCCTCTTGGCGAGGAATGGGAGTCCCTCCCATACTCTCAACATAGCCCTTTCCTTTTTTTAAAAAAAAATCACAACTTCCATCAGAAGCACCGCACTTCCATTCCTGATCCTGCTCATCATTTGAGCATCCTCTTCCGGGCTTTTTGGTCTCCCTGGCTTTTGGAGGTAGGCAAACATCACCTTGCAAGGTTAACAGGGGAAGATTAACACAAGGTCACTGCTTCCAGCTATGTCCTGCAGCCCAGAAAGTTGAGCACCGGGTCATTTTGGCACACCCACGCCGCTTCCCGGCAGGTTCACTAAGTCAGTGGTGTGCTAACACTTTGCTCTGGAACAGATGCAGAGCAGCATCATGGTCTCTCGTGCCTTGGGGCCATAACCTCCAGCAGCGGAGTGGAGAGAGAGCTGGAGGCAGCACCTTTTTAACTTCCTCTAGGCAGATTCAGCAAGGGGGATCTGTCACTGCTCTCATGTACACCGCCTCAACTTTCTTCATGTCGCCTATAAAACCTCTCACTACTACTATGTTCTCACTTTAAACCACAGCTTTGTCACTCTGTCACAAAAAGCCAATTTGCCTGTTAACAAATTGATTCTCTTTCTTGCGTGCATCGTCTGATTTGTGCAGATCCCTGTTGTTTTCGTACCGTCTCTGCAATGCGAGAGCTCCGTGACAGGCGGCACATGAAAGACCTGGTAAGCTCAGCAGTGGTACTCCACTCGTAGATTCATGGGTCACAGCAGACTTCCCTCTATCCCTTAAGCCTAATTCTTGACCATGCAAGTTGCTGATAAAAATTGCCACTTGATGGATGCCTCCTCAGAAAAAGGCTCCAGAAAAAGGAGCAGATGGTGGGTTGAGCAGACGGGCTCGCTGCTCCATTCCCCTCGGCACGCCGGTCAGCCTCACGAGGAAAGGCTGTACCCGAGAACTAAGGAGGTATCGCAGGGCACATTTGTGACACCAAGCCCTGGGAACGGCTCACCAACAAGAACAGCATCTTCAAGCCAACTATCGGCCGCTCAGGAGCAGGGATGGTGCCTGGTGCCGCTATGGCTCCTTGCTGGATGCAGCACACCTTCTTCCCAACACCAGATCTACCCCTCCAGAATCTAACAGCAGGTTAAGCATAGCTGAGCAGAAGATCTCACTTTATTTTTTATTTATGGATATCTCCCAGGAAAAGGCCATGTTTAAAGGTAACCTGATCTCCAGGGAAATAGGAACAGGTTTGGCTAGTCTGTGTCTTGCCACATCGGTTTTTTTTCTTTTCTTCCTAAAATATTATCATCTGTATCTTTGCCCCCAAACATAACACAGAGAATTAAAACCATTAAAATCCTGTGAAATAGACTTTACAATCTGGATTTTATTCAATGACATAAACACTTAATTACAAACATCTGTTTTAGCCTAAATTCTAATTACCTAATCTAGCCATCTGTAATTTGAATGATTTTCTCTGATTTCCTTTCTTTGCAATGTGATTAATGAGAATGGCATTAGAGCAAGCAGCTCCCTCCTCCTTCCTCAGACGCTTTCTCCGCTCTACCAAGAAAGCCCTGGGATTCTGCAGCTCACAGGAAACCTCCCTCCTGTCACTTCCAGCTGTTGAGCTTCCTTTTCTCTTTTCAGTATGAGCTATCCCACGAGATAGCTGCTTCCCAGGGCTAAAAGGGGAAGTTCTTACACAGAGAGATGCTCCCTGGGAGATGAGACCTGCCAGCTTTCCAACGCAGAGACAAGGCATGGCAAAATAGTGCTGGATTTCCCCTGCAGACACAGGAGGGGAAACACATGCCCTGCCAGGGAATATTTGGCTTCACCTCTGCTCTGTATCTTCACTGCGGGGGTCACGTCCTTTTCCCATCACATGGCATATTGGGGATGGGAGCCTTGATACACGAACATAGAGTAAAGCTTCACATCATCAGAAAAACCCCATCTTTTACTTAAGACTCTATACTAGGGTCGAGGAGAACTGAACCCATTTTTCCAATCGTGCTGTAGATTGCCTGACTCTGATGTAACAGGAAAAGTCACTTCTCTTCCATGCCTCAATTCCCCATTTGTACACCAAGAACAGGAGTCCCTCCTGAGCATCTGACCCCCACACAGCACAAGAGGAGCTCCCCAGCACAGCCAAGAGCAGCCACACAGTGCTCGGGAAGGCACTGCAGCCCCTGGGGAAGGCTCCCTAATGACAGCAGGGCTGGAGCAGTTTAGATCAGGGTGACGCAGCGTGGCCGAGCCCCCCCCATCCAGACATGTCCTCCCTGGGCTGGGAGGAAGCCTCCTGTATGGCCAACTGTGCTTTATGAATGAATGAAAGGAGCATCCAGCTGGCTTAATATTACACTCATGGGTGATTTAGGCTCAGGCTTACAAACCAAACAACTTCATTCAGCTCCGAACTCATTTACTCTGTCAAAAAAAGGTGCTGCAACAGGGCATATTCTTGCATCCTTCCACCTACAGATTTAGCTGGTTGATCGAAACAACACGAGGTACGAAGGCACAATGAGATCAGTTATTTCCCCATCACATCTGCTACGTTCCTGTTCCTATGGTCTTCTGTTTGTACTTTAGAAGGAAATTTATTTTTAATGCCTTCAAACAGTCCCTGCAATTGTCATCCAACTAGGAAGGTTCCTGGTAGAAATCCTGTAGAGATTTAGCAGGGCAGACAGCAAGCTCACTGCAGCTGCCTCTGTGCAGGATGGCTGGGAGGAGGGAGAGCAGGATGGGCCCAGCCATGTACTAACCATGGTCTGAGCTCCACGTCAAGCCAATAAGATGTGGACACAAAGGGCAGAAAGCTCCTCATTTTGACGGTTTAAGATCACTTTGTAGTGATAATAAGGAGGTTTTCAGCAGTACACAGCTGCCTCAGCTTGTCAAGGGGACTCCGAGTTCATCAAAAATGATGCAAAGGGTTCCACTGATGGCATTTTCCCTCTCCCCAGCTCCAGCTGGGGTGCCCTGCACCCCCCATTTGCTTTGAAAACCTTCCCAGTTCTGAAGAGTCCCTAGGGAAGATTTGGGTGCTGATCTGCACACTCATCAGGGAGATGTTAAGAGCACACGAGGTAACAGTCCCTCGGCATCTGCCTAAGACCAGCCCTTTCTATACTATTTGCATCCAGACTCCCTCAAGCCGTTTTCTTAGAGGTAAATCCACAGGGACAAATTCCATAAGGGAAACACAGAATCTAGGCTGCATCATCCCCTACACTCATGTATAAATATAATTCAAATGAAGATGAGGCTTCAATTTAAAGCTGTACAGCCATTCAAGCAAAGACAAGCCCTCTAAAGCTGTATACCCCGCATGGTGCCCCAAGGTCCCTTGGGGTGACACAGGCTTTCAGGATCGCCTTAGAATTCTCCAGTTCAGGAGGCTCCCCTGTAAATCAACACTTGACACCCCAAGTCTTCTAGCTACTTAACTAAGATGCTCTGTCTGGTTCATTCTTCCCATTCCTGGACCATCTCCCGGTGACTGACAAGCAAGAAAGCCCATCTGAGGTACAGCAGCCTGGTGTTGTGCTCAAGCCCTTTAGAACAGGGGTTATCTGGATTAAATAATTCATCAGCACCCATACATTTGAGACCTGAGTTTCTACCTGTGCATGTACTTCACTCGCACTGCACTGCCAGTGTCTGCTCAGAACCAGCCTGCAACTCTTTTCCCGAGGCTTTCC